AATATGATTGCATTAGTGTCAAAGGCTGCCATGGCAAAATGGAGCTACACCGATGATCGGACCCGGACGAGGCCGTGGCCGTGGACGTGGACGCGGACACGGTTCGTTCCGAGGAAGAGGTGGCAACTAGGATATTGGCAAGGTTACGCTAGCCACCTACGTTAACCGGAGCCGGAGACAATCGAAAAGGGGGCTTGACTCTGCAAGAGGGTCCAAGACAACAACACTTCCTGCCTTCACCGAAATGGTGAAGAGTTCCGCATTACCTACGTACCATGGCAGAACGCCAACAACTCACGCTGAGCTATCGACTATCGACAACTGGCTACAACCACTACTCCGACAAGATAAAGTCATGCAACTACGAACACCGCCGAACTTTACGTTACCGACGCGCGTAGTGAAAGACCGAGTCACGCACGACTGTAGACCGCTACTACCTTACGTCAACGATGCTGGCCGCTTCCCGAATATCCAAAGCTGCTGGCCCATTATCACATGGGGCGCGCAGCAAGCAAGACTAGCAAAGATTGATCTGAGTAAAGCGTTTCATACCATACCACTGCCGCCCGACCAAGTGGGCACTTATGCGTTCCGACACCGTGATAAGTATTACGCGTATAAGTGCATGCCTATGGGCGCTACTAACGCACCAAAACATTTCCATCATACGATGGGAACCATCTTGAAACGTCTACGCTTCGCCGAGCACGTACGCTACTACCAGGACGACATATTTATAGCGGCCGAGACCAGCCAGCAACTCAAGTTACGATACGAACAAACGAAACAGCTCTTGACCACGCATGGTTTCAAGATTAATAACGAGAAGTCACAGTTACAATGCACAAGCATCTTAGGATACGAACTATTTGACCACACATTAACGATTCCAAAAGCCAAATGGGCTAAAATACAACGATTGATGCAAACAGGAGCCCACGCTAGCATTACGAAAGCAGCGCAGACGCTCCAGTATTATAAACATGCATTGACGACAGCACAACAGCGAATAGTAACGAAGCTACTGCAACAGAAAGTTAAAGACAACGACATACTAAAGATCTACTGCAACTGCTTCAAACAACGTCCGTCCATACGTTATACTGCACAACCGAACAAACCGCTACGCCTATACATTGATACTAGTAACGTGGCTGTTGGCCTCTCTTTGATTCAAGGAGCCAACACATTGATGACAAAAACTATCGACAAGCCAGCCACGCACAACTACAGTAACACGAACGAAGCCTAAGGAGGGTATATGATCTTGAAGAAACATCTGGCGCAGATAAAAGACTAAGTTCGAACCATACGCAAACCACTACTCATTTTTACGGACAACGCACTACTCAATACCGCTCTTAACCAACCACAGACCGACGATAAAGGAGACACATACTACTTTGCAAACAAAATACTAAGACCACTTAAAACTACCGACGCCGTTATTACATACCACCATATTCATGGTAAATCCAATCCAGCAGATATCCCAAGTCGCCGTACTAAGGCCAATTTAAAAATAGAGAAAGAAGAACACACGACTGAAAAACGATTGTGGTCAGACCTGCACAGA